CTATATATATATATATATATATATATATATATATATGCTAGAAATAAATTGATCAACATACCCCCCAAAACTTTTCCGAGGTATTTTAGTTGATTTATATTTTACGAATTATTTTTTTAATATTTTTATTAGGTGCACCTTGATGAGTAGAATGAACGCCTACAATTTCAAGGGATTTGAGTTTGTAGAAAAATAAATGAAAATTCAAAAAACAAAATGATGTCCTGACCGTTAGATCGGCTCAGATTCAATCTGGGCCCTTGGCTAACATTGTAGATGTTAGATAGGATAATTTGATGAGTGAAATGATGCATAAAAAGCAATAGCCCAAATGTTAAATAGGATAATTTGATGCCATTAATGTTTTTGTAAGATAATTTGACCATTTAATTAAGGGTGCAGTTGGCATACGAATGCATTCGTCAGTGTAGAGGTAAGGTGGACCTTCAAATTTTATCATGGTATATAATTTTGATATAAAATGTTCTTAGGATTATCTCAAAATCTATTTTTACATCTAACTATAAAATTTTAAATTTCAATTAAAATCAAGTAGATCTTTAAACATATGAAAACCTTGAAATAGACGGTGTAGATAATATGTTGTAAAATACACTATTTCTAAGACTTAAAAATCTTTTTATTTTTCATGGTCATACATCTCGATGTCGAGATGATCAATCAATGGCTTTTTCAACATTAAAACTACCTTTTCTGATGGATTTTTGAGGTGCATCCGTAGTTCTACATTACAAGGCTGCATCCTCATACAAACTTTTTCCTTTAATTAACGTATACAATCAACATTCCTATAGTATAGGATCCTTGTACTACCCATTGAATCTAAGAGTGAGATGAAGAGGATTTGATAGTTTCAATGCACATGAAATCCCCTAAAATAGGAATAAAAAATAGTCCTTGAAATTACAAAAAACATTTGTTTTACCAATTTACATTAATACCAGTAATGAAGTACTGTAAACTGACAGTGAAAACCAATATGAATAATTCCTGTGCAGGGACTGCTGGGTTCAGCAATAGCTCTGTTTGTTCAAAGCTGATGCATTAGCAAGAAGGGACCCGTTTTCACACCTTCATTCAACCCTGTGTGCTCGGTTGCGGTGGCTGTGCTCGAGGCCATACTCCACATAGATATCCGAATTGGAAGGTCGGTGCAAATTCTATAATTACATTATAGCAACCACATAGATGCCAGAAATAATGTCACAAACATTTTCAGTTTTCAAATCTCTAATCATTCTTGCTAGTTTTGGTGTTTGCAGCATGATAGGAGCCATCATGGTTATCTTTGGGCTACATTGTCTGCTGTGGGCAAAAGAGAAGTCAGTCGTATGTCAATTGGGAGGCCAACTCCTTTGCAGATCATCTTGTTAAAAGAGAAGTCAGTCGTATGTCTATCTTATGTGCAGATGATGTTGACCACTTGGAACAAAGTTTAGCAATAAAATTTTATAA